TCAATAAGGCACCATTAAAAAAACGAAATAAACATTTATTAAAATTAACGTTTAAAGAATAATAGTAAACTCGGAGCAGTACCTCGCTCCTACAACACAGCGAAATCTGCCACCTTCCTCCTCTGAGGCTAACATGAAACTGTCGTCTCTCTCACTTGCTGGGCTCTGGCAGGCAGCTGATTGGCTTACTGCAGCCAGATACATGAAATGGTACTTTTCCGTTTTGCTGGCGCAAACGATAAAGTCGCCAATAATGGTACAACTGATGCCAAACGGAATATCTTCGCTGGTAACCTTTTACCCTTCATTTTCAAAACAAGTCGCAGCAATTTATCAGACTGATTTTTTCTTTCAATACTGGCATACAATTACATAGAATTTTTACTAGTTAAATTTTATGCCTTAAGACCAAGTGAGGCGAAAATATAGAAAAGGCAAATCAAGGGTTAAATTCATCAAATCTAATGAGAATGCACTAGCGAAGTAAAGCACTGCGGTTTTACATAATTTCTGAGTAAGGTATTCGTACGAATTCAAATAATTCTTGCATTTAAACTTGTATTCCATAAGATTTAATTTAAGATTTAACTTGAAATTAATGTAAATAATTACTGAGAGAATTAGATTTTTGTAGCGTAGTTTACATGAGATGAGGTCACTTGGGGTCACGTGATACGAACTGGCGAATCAGGATGTTGAACCCTGAAAGCATAATAAATTCTTAAATTAATGTCTTTTTACAAATTTATTGGCTTTATTTATTAGCTTTTTACAAAAATTTAAACCATATTGAAATGTTTATGCCTTTAAAATAAATAAAAAATTCTTAGAACTAACATTTGTTAACATTTTTACTTCCTTGTACGAAGTAAAAAGGAAGTATTGTAATCGCGAAAAGTTTCAGGCAGCATATTTAACGAAAATATCCATTTTGACAGCTATCGAATACAATTTAACGATGTTTTTGCGTCATATCTGTACGTAAAGACAGAATAAAATACTCTTTTCCTTCAAAAAAATTATAAAACTGCTTTAAAATGAATTCTGAAGAGAATTTTTCGTGGAGTCTGTACGAACGTTTGTACGTACGTATCTCGCATAACTCAAAAACGAGTAGCCGCAGAACGTTGAAATTTTGTATATAGGACTGCTATAACATGTAGATGTGCACCTAGTATTTTGGTTGCAATCGGCTGCACCAAACGTATATAAATATATTTATATGTATATCCACTCTGTTACCCAGCTCAGTGATCTCAGGTTCTTTACACTTATATGTTTGTAAATTGTACATTTTTTGGTTTAAAAATGATTGTATTATGTTGTTTTTATCTTTCGGTTAAAGTTTTTATGACTTTAGTAAATCTGTACGCAATATTTTTAGAATTATCAACAATTTTAAAGTTGTCTAAGTGCCGCTAAGCCTAATAATTTTTTTGATGGCCGCCATTGCTTGTTTACATGTGAAAGAGCAGAATAGTGGATTTGTTGCCAATCTAGAGAAACTTAGTTTCACAACAACAAAGATAACGCATTCATTTATTATTGCCAATTAAATCATGCTTAATTTTTTTCTGGAATTTTTTCCGAGGAAATAAGTGTTTAAGATTTACTTCGTAATTTTTAATATACATATTTTGAGTTTTTATGTATTTTTGCCTTCTCGCGAAGTGAGAACTGAATTAATTAAATGAGAAATACTCAATCGTCTGTGAAAAAACTTTCCTTTTTTTTTTTTTTTTTTTTTTTTTGCTTAATTTCTTTTATACATCATTCTAGCTTTATTATAGTATTTGAATAGAACATGTGGCAAAGATTAGATAATTCTATTCTTTAAATGATATAAATTTTTTGCATTATGAAATATAATATGAACGAAATATATAAGTTAACTGTTATATAATTATTGGCTTATATAACAGTTAACTTAGTTTCCGTTATATAATTATTAATACTGTTAAGTGAATCTAGCGCCAGAGTGTCGCTATGGTAAACAAATACTAGAGTTAATTTTAAAGAATGCATTCATTCTATTGTGGCTTATGCGCTGTCGGCGAAGTAGATTTAATTCAATTCAATAAGTTTAAATAAAATGCAAGAAAAAATGCGTATAATTTAATATTCCGTATAAGGAAGTCATGTGGTGTACACATCAGATTTTTTTTTTTTTTTTTTTTTTTTTTTTTGTGTGTGTGTATATATATACTGTATGCTGTCGCGAACAAAGTCTGCTTGGCGAGATTTACTCCCGCGAAACGGAAAAGTACCATAGTCGTAACTTAGAATATTTAAAAACTATAGTTTAAAGTACTGAAAATAATTAAGGCTATTATTAATTATGCATATTTAGTCTAAAGAGAAAAAATTGTATTATCTTCTAGTTTTCGGGAAATGATAAAATATTTAAACTTTAGATAAATACAAGGAATACAAAATTTTAAAAAAGAAGAAAAATATATTTATTATTAAGCTTATTTTTCTGCGTAAATCAATGTGTAACACGAGGACATAATAACGACATTTTCACATCTGTTGCAAAAAAGGTGGAATTTTGCGAACATTTAGGCGTCGTTAAGACATCGTGATACGATGCTTTCACAACCAAAATATCACCTGCGAAAGACGCAATGACGACGTCTATGTGACAAAATCCTCATCTGCAAAGACATAATAAAGACGTCTTTGCAACGATTGCAAAACAGTGGAGTTTCACGGACATCTGGGCGTCTTAAAGACGACATATTGCAACGTTTTTGCGACACGACTCGCGACCAGTTTGCAACGTTGTTAAGACGTTGCCTTGCTACTTGGGGAGTGACATAAAACATGCCAGCCATAATCAATAAGCTTTTGTCTGACTATCATCGAAATATGGGGCCGAGTGTTGTCATGATAAGAAATAACATCTCGATGATACCCCCTTCTGGTAGCTTAGCTTCGATTTCTGCTTTTAAAACTGATATTTTGGGAACGGCATTTTTTCGAATTTATTGTCTGATATTATGGCAATAATTCATAGTACATAATTCTTTTGTAGTCCCACCCTACACAAAGCACTGCTTTTTTTGGGATGCAGCCTCCTATCTTGATGTTACTAGAGGAGGTTTTTCAGATAGGATTTTTTTTTCTTGTAATATTGTAGCATAGTATTATCTTCTCGTCACTAGTAATGTGCCTTTTCAATAAAACAGCTACTTTTGTCTGACTATTTTGTCTGACGATTTTTTTCCGCAAAAAATCACATGCTAAAACTCCAACAGGCATATTCTGCTCTTAAAGTATTGCAGAAATGTATGTGATGTCCTTCATCTATCTTATCGCTATACCTGAAAGAATGGAAGGTCAGATAGATTCTAGAGACTAGATGATAATGGCGTACTAAGCCCTATCCTTTGATTTACATATATATTCCATATGAAGATTCATTTGATTATTAACCTGTACATAATGTGTAAATAAATATTTTATCTTAAACATGTGCGCTTATATGTAGAATTTACAATAAGAGAATTAAGATTTGGAATAGAGCAAGTAATTTCGTTTTTGAACTACCTTTTGTTTTATAGTGCATCCTGTGAACCGGAAAATAAGATTACAATAAGACCCCGATTAACGCTGACCCTTTGAGCGCTATTCCGGTTTAACGCGTTTTTATTGGAATAGTGGGATTTCCTGAAAACTGCGCGAAGCATTCGGCTTCCCCGAAATTGAAAGTAATTATTATACGTATCAAACGTATTTTTATTATTTCAAACATTTGTTGCTGTTATTGTAAATATAAATTTATGTAACGTAATGTTTGATATAATGTTGGATAAATATTATAATCTTTAGTTTTTAATATTGATGATATTAAGAAACACGAAAACGAAGCGACAAGGAAAAGCATGTCGCTAGAAACTAAAATGTTAGTGTTTAGAAGATTAGATAGTGGTGAACGACAATGTCAATGTCGCATTGAACTTGTCAACTTGAACAATAAAGACACTTCTCAAGAATAAAGAAACAATTGCGTAATCAACAACTAGAACTACAAAAACCTTTGTACTATAATGAACCGTTCTAAAAATAATAGAATAGAGGAGATGGAAAAACGACTTCCTATATTAACGACAAAATTGAACGCAATGTGTCATTAAGCCAAGCTATTATATAATGGAAAAAGCGAGAAGAAATTTTAATCACTTTCATATTGAAACAGGTGAACTGAAACTTTCGTTGCAAGTCGAGAGTGGTTTAATAGATTTAAACATCGAAATAATTTTCATAACACACAGATTGCAGAAGAAACACTGAGTGGAGATATAAAAGCGGCGGCTGAATTCCCAGTGATATTAAGAACAATAATTAAATGAGGAAATTGTCCTTTAATGTGGATGAAACGGTCCTATTTTGGAAAAGAATGCCAAAATACATATTTGTATCCCGTGAAAAATTTAAAAACCAGGATTTAAAGCTGCGAAAGATCACTTAAAAATATCAAAATCAACTTTACCTATAATTTGGGAGTCTAATAAAAAATAATGTATAACTACGAAAATTTTCTAGAACTGGTTCACTGAACATTTTTGCCCGTCTGTTAAACGCTATCGTGAAATCAAAAAAACTGAACCAAAAGCGTTACTTTTAATCACCGTAGAATCGAAATATAGAAAAAATTGGTATGTTATTTCAGACAAAATCCGATTTTGTGTCAAATTACCTATGTTAGAACAATGCTATATATAAATCTAATATATATCTTAAGTCGCGCTTTCGAGGCATGAAAAACGCAAATTTGAATTTTGTCAATCGGCCCAATAGAACGAGAGATATAGAACTGCCCCCCCCTTTTTTATTTTTGCGCAGTGTACATATACGTGGTACTGCAAATTATTATTAGCAAATACCATAACTTATGGTATAAAAGAAAGCATGTTTTTAATTAGCTATATGTAATTTTCTAAACGTGAAGAATAAGTGTTTCATGAAAATGTTATAAATTAACAGATGCAAAATTGCTTCTTTTTCTTTCAGAAAATACATAACCATAAAAAATTTAAGTGGAGCCCAGAAATGGAAGGACAGATTTTGGGAGCCGTGTACTATGGGCAGCTTTTTGGCTTCCTACCCGGTGGGCGCATGGCAGAAATATATGGCGGAAAAAGAACTCTCATAATTTTCCTAGCTGTTTCATCTTTCTGTACAGCTTTAATACCCATCACAGCTCATTTATCTGTGTATGCACTCATTGTATGCAGATTTTTGATTGGATTCGCGACGGTAAGTTTTACCTCAATTTTTTTTTAAATACATCTCTCCAAGTTCTCATCTGAGCAATAAATAAAAAAACCGTCATATGAAATTTGTTATTTGAAATTAAAAATCTAAAATTGACAAGCTCAGTTTAATTTTCAGGGCTGACTTCGTATTTGCTAAATGAATTTGTATAAAGCAGAATCCCCCAAGTCAAACCAAAACTGTTTAAAACAGAATACTTCTGTTTTACACTTGTATCTATCCTAGACTTGCACAAATGTATAACTAGAATATTAAAAAAAAAAAAAAAAAAAAAAAAACGTGAAGTAAACAAATTAGAAAATAGGTACAATTTGAACGATGAAACTGCGGTGGAAAGCTGTGGAACTTTTCAAGAGGGTGCAAGACCATCCGATATCACAAGATATCCGATATCAGTGACATTATCAAACCGACTATAGAATCAAAGTGAGCAAAATATCTCTAGAGGACTTCTAAAATTTCTTTAACGTCGGATGTTTTCGTCTTTGTATTGCTGAACGGCATGACGCAGTAGAATACTCACGGCGTTACAGATGGTTTCAGATTCTTCTGCTACTACAGGAAGACCTTATTTAGGGAAAAAACTACGCAATAGCGTAGGCTTCATAGCAGCGAACTGTTTGTTAAAAGACCTGCTATCTGCATATTTTTCTCATCATTTTATTTAGAACCTGATAAGTGAGTAGGTGCGTTAGCATCTGAGATGAAACTCAGATAAACGAATCGAGCACTTTACTATAGAGCTAATCATCTGTACTACTATAGAGCACTTTACTATAGAGCTAATCATCCTAATGATTCTCGAAGAATACCACAAGTAGCAGGACCACAGAATGAGAAACTGTAAATTAAACTGCACAGGAAAAAAAAACTTTAAGCCAGCGGCCTTTTTCGAATTTACTTTCTCATTCTTACTAAAGAGATGCTTCTACCATCCCAAAGCAAGTGAGACTATTAGTGACATCGTTCACTCGAACTGAAAAATACTTTACCAATATCTTTCGAGCCATTTTAATATTTCTGGAAATGAAAAGAGCAAGAAGGATTAGTTAATGGCTTTTATTTCCCCTTTTCTATCATCGAACTTCGAATTATTAGTCACGAATACAATTAATAATCATTCAAACATCGCAGAATGTATCAGAGGGAAAATTTAGAACTATCTGAAATTTTGAACGCTCAAGGACCTGCCATGCCTTAATTTCGTTATAAGTCTTAGAGTCTTTTACTTTTATGTGTCGATATAATAAATATTTACAGAGTATTTATATATTATGTACTTCTACGAATGTTAAACATCTTTTCAGTTGTACCCCTTTGGTCAACAGCCATTTTATTTCTGGTAACTGGATTTCACTTGTACTAGGTTTTTCTTGGGAAGCCTGTGTAGTTTTGAGATTTCGTTTCCGATGAAGGATTAAAACAAACATTCTGAAACACATTAATTTTCAGAACTTCTAACAGTAAAATGTGAAAAATATTTTGAAGTGATATTTGATTATAGAAGATAGTATTAAGAATTACTTTAAAAGATCAAAATTTCAATTCTAAATAGTGTCTTTTGAATACCTTTTTAGTTAAGTATGGTGTTATTCTAGACCCACATTCTATTACAGATAATTATTTTTAGTTATTTAATCTTGTGCTTTACAGGATCTTTATTTTAAATTTCATTTCAGATCCTCAAATCACATTTAACAACTGTTAGTAATGATATGAACTACAGTTTATTTCTTCTTACAGGCTCCAGTGTTACCTATACTCTTTTACCTGATTTCTCGATGGATCCCGTACTCAGAGAGAAGTTTTACTTCATCATTTGTTTTAGCTGGATATGGTTTGGGAGCATTTCTTTCTTTCATATCCTCTGGAGTCCTTTGTGCCTCCGATTTTCTGGGTGGCTGGCCTGCTGTCTTTTATACCGGAGGTAATTTTCACACCTCTTTTTTCTTCGTATATGATGCTACTTCGAATACATACTACTTCTGAAACGTTTCTGCATCAATCAGCTGTTAAAAGTTTTAAGAATATTCACCTATTGACTGTAAAATGTATTTATTTTCATTGTAAAACTTTATTACCATCCTTTTTTCTTTGTTATGTTATTACTCGCATTTAGTAAATTTAACTTTTATAAAAAAAAGAAAATTGCTTTTACAGTTCATTCTTTTTCTAAACCACATCGTAAAATGGATTTAAAATGGAATCAAATGGGATTGTTTTCGTGTCTTATGCGCGTATATACATATCTAACGTAACTCAAAAATGATGAGACGTAGAACGTTGAAATTTTGTTCATGTACTGCTATAACATTAAATTTCGCATCTTCCTTTTTTATTGCAACTGGCAGTACCAAACATATATTTTATATATATATATATATACCCATCCCCTTACCCTGCTTAAAAGTCCTTATTCAACCTTTAATTTCGCATTTGTTGGCCGCAGTAATATACTTCCAATCAGAAATCTTTTAAACGACGAAAATACTCATGTTTTTGGTGATGTCAAATTTAAAAAAAAAAAATTAATTTTCAGCAAATAACAAAATCATCTAACTTTTAATTCGGTCTTCCGCTTCTTATACTTTTATTTGGAGAAGTTTAAAACCCGTTATGAAAAAATCTCATGTGTACACCACATGACTTCCTTGTACGGAATATTAAATTATACGCATTTTTTTTTTCATTTCGTTTAAACTTATTTGATTGAATTAAACCTACTTGGCCGACAGCGCATAAAGCACAATAGAATACATTCTTTAAAATTCTCTCTATTTGTTTACCATAGCGATACTCGGGCGCTAGGTTCACTTAATAGTATATAAAACAGAATCACTTGGTTAGAAAAATAGGGCTTTTAATGGATAAACTGGCCGACCTTGACACAAACCTGTGCCATACTTAGTCAGCCATATAGACAAATAGTAATTCAGTGTCCAGCACCAACTACCAACACCACAAAATAACTGTGAATTATCGTAAGGAGTATCCAACACTCCTAGTAATATAGCAAGAATCAACTATTTAATCAATTTGCATTATGCGAACCAAACGAATTATGTCTATTATTTGTACTGCAATATGTAAATTAGGACCATCTGTACCTGTTTATAAATGTATCTTAAGTACCATCACTATGTAGTTATGTTTTATGTATGTATATGTATAATGCATCCAATGATTCTATACTCAATGTAATTATGCGTCTTGCATTTGTATATATATGTTCTAGTATAAATGTTACTGTATTGATCATTAACTGTATTAATCGTTGCTGCATTATTGTATTAATATTATTTAGCATCATCAAATTAATAGCACCAATTGAACCTTATTACGTACTTTCAAGTCTACGAGACTAAGGTACTATGTGCATTAAGATTGTGAGCCCAATAATTACTATGTGCCTAATACTATGTATATATATCCTCGTATGTATGATAATGTAACCATGCATCCGAATATCAGGCAACATCACGCAACATGACACTTTACCGCATAGTGTTAATCTAAAGTCTTAATTCCAAAAAAAAATCCATTGCATTAACTAACTTCTATAGCATTCATACTTGCCAACCTATGACACTCAAAAATCAGGAGATTTTTTTAAGAAATCGGGAGATTTTTCACAATGTTAAAAAGACTTTTTAAATAAGGAAAATATAGTTTTTAATAATGAATTAACTTTAAATAGTAACTAATTCTTAAATGCAAGCAACACAAAAATACCTTATACATAAAAAACATTTTTATTACTTGCATCATTTAAGAAAACAAAACAAAAAAAAAAAAAAAAACCTTTAATCAGTTTTTGTACAAATGGTATAAACAGTGGCAGATTTTGCTTTCTTTAAGAAAGAAACTTCATAATTTTGTTCATAGCAATTGCCACGTAGGCCTGCTTTCACTAATAAAAGTTTTCTAATGTGTCATCACTAATATTAGATCTAAATTTAAATAAATAAAGATCCGATGCATTCAGTGGCAGGTTGTGCTCCAGTAAAAAGGCAGAGAACAGACATTCTGCATTAATAACTTTTTGGTTTTTTGTTTCTGAAGAAAAATTTAATTTTTCTTTTTTTTTTTTTTCTTTTTTTTTTTTTTTTTTTTTCAAAACAGCTTATGTTGCCTTGTGTTTTTTTGTGTACGCACATGTTTGAGAACCATCCGCCCTTCCACCATGCGAAATCGAAAAATCGCAACGACAGGCGGTACACATCGCAAATTTATTACATTTCCTTGAGGAAATAATGGAAGGAAAGTCAACTGTGTACGATTTTTGAAACGTAAACGAGTATTCCACCTTTCTCGCAGACATAACAAAAGATGATAATTTCTAAAGCTATTTCCCAAAGGCACGTGTACTCACACAACTCAGGACAAAATGACCGAAATAACTAAAGAACATCCAAATAACAGCTTGTTTTGTCCTCATTGGCTAATATATGCCAGATGACACGCAGTGGAGCACGATGCCCATTGGAGAACTGGAGAACGAACGACGTTTCTGGATACGTATATGCTCTCACTCACAAAGCAGAAGTTATCTAATTCGCAAGGTTTTGTTTTAGATATAATCTAGAGAAAATTCATTTGCTTTCGGACGTCAAAAATCACTTTTTTTTTGTTCATATAACAAAGTATTAAGCCAAGTTTCATAAAAATCGTGAGAAATTTTAAGAATAAGAAAAAGTCGGGAGAAATATATTGTAAATCGGGTTGGCGGGAGAGCGGTCGAAAATCGGGAGTCTCCCGCCTAAATCGGGAGAGTTGGCAAGTCTGCATTATTATTATATATATTATATATATTTGTTTATATATTATGTATCGTCTGTATATGTACCATATATATAATGCTTATAAATCCAATGATTACTGCGTGCCTAATAATTGCGTATACGTGTTTTAGTATGTATATAACTGAATCCATGGCTCCGCGCATATCATCCTGTATCATGGCACTGTACCACACAGCGTTAAACTAGGATCTTATACTAAAACTAACAGCACCAATGAATTGTTCCAGCATTGTACTAATCTTATGTATTATGTACGTATATGCATAGTGCATCTAATAATTATGTATCCTATGTTAATTATGCACCTAATATTTGTATTTATATATATATAGTATTAACAAGTAAATATTACTGTATCATGCGTCGTATTTAACACTGTGTACATGAAGCCGTTTCGCATAGTGTTAAAATAGAATCTTACTATAAAATTACTGCACTTAGTACTTTTATAGCACGTATATGAACATCTTTTATCTATAATCTATGTATATAGCACTATGTATGAGATATAGGATTATTATGTGCTAAAAAGTGTGTATATGATATGTATATATTATCCATCCAATCGCCTACAGCATCATGTTTACAGTAAATAACAGCCAAATACTTGCCTAGCATGTATTAAGAAACATATATAAATGTATATGTATATCGCCAATGAATATGTACCCATGACAATTATGCACCGTATAATTGCTTATAATGATATTTTTAAATATTATAAATTAATTGCATCAATCTCCACGGCACTCTACAATGTACCATATTCTCATGTATATAAATGTGCCATACCTATTGATATGAAAGAGAATGGTATAAGCATTGTTAAACAGTATCGCATGTAAATAGAAAACAGTATAGATTGTAAATAGGAAAACTCTAGCATTGTAATAGAAAACAGTATAGCATTGTAAAATTAGGAAAACGTATAGCATTGTATATAACTGTACCCATGCACCGCATAATTTATACGTACGTACACAGTAGGAAAAATATCAACCTAGGTCCTATTATGAATTAATAGCACTATTACTAGTTATAACATTTTTTAGGATCTAAGTTTAAGTATATGAAGTAAGTACCAATGTTTATGTCCCAATGACTATTATGTACCAATATAAGCGTATAGGCTTTGTCATAGGTAGTGTTATGTCTTGTTTATAGTAATTGTACCCTGTATCTCTAGTTTTATCACATATCTTGGCACGTATAGTTAATATACGCTATCGCCTGAATAATCATGTACCTAATGTTTCTTTACACAAGGTATTATATTATATGAATTTATGTCTTTATATGATAATGTAACTATGCATTGCACTTTTATCTGTAACACGTCACCGTATGCAAAAACTAATAGAGCCCCACTCTAAATTAATGCACCAATTACTTTCGATTGTATTAAGTTACCTATTGTAATTTGTTAATAGCACTTACCTAACGCTGATATAAATTACGTGTACCTAATACAAGGTTTATATTTTACATGGTTAATGTACTAGAAACAGTACAAATAATTCATAGCAGACCGTACACACAGTACTATCTAAGGTCTACTTTAATCATGTACTATTACTTATTCAACATAACATGCGCCCTAAGATTTCAGTATGTAACAGCTCTGAATAATGATAATGCTTCAAAGATCATAGTGCTCCACATTGAGTCCACGTTATGTATATAGTATCGTATCAGCTTTGCTACACCCTTGTAACATGAAATGTATTATCCGTGTATAACATAATTACTTAACCCACTGTATAAGTACCAAATTTTGTATGATGTTATATTATATCTTAGCACAATGCACGTATGGTTATCTAGATAAAGGGCGTTCGCTATACCGATAACCGTATTGGCAGGGTGGTGCCCACGTCTCGTCGCTGTGCATGCACTTAATAGTATTATATTTCGGCATATTATAACTCAAGCACAAAATTTAATAATTTAAAGATTATTATCGTCCACATTTTATTCATACTACAATAAAGCTGAACGATGAAAAGAAATTAAGCAACAAAATAAAAAAACAGTTTTCACAGACGATTTAGTATTTCTCATCAATTAGTCAGTTCTCACTTCGCGACAAGGCAAAAATACTAAACCCCAAATATCTGTATTAAAAATACGAGGAATCTAACACTTATTTCCTCGAAAAAATTCCAGAGGATTAAGCATGATTTAAATTGGCATAATACATGAACGCGTTATCTTGTTGTTGCGAAGATGACTTTCCTAGATGGCAACAACCACTATTCTGCTGTTCACATGCAACAAGCAATGGCCGCCATCAAAAAAATATAGGCTTGCGACACTTAAACAACTTTAAAAATTGTGAATTCTTACTACCTACTGATACAGATTCTAAAGGCATAAAAACCTAACCGAAGGAGAAACAACATAATCATCATTTTTAAAGCAAATATACTTTTACAAACCTATAAGAGAAAAACTGAGATCACTGAGCCGGGTAACAGGTGGATATAGTATATAAATATCTTTATAACGTTGGCGCAGCCGATTGCACCAATACAAGGTGAACATATACATGTTATGCAGTCTTATATATAAAATTTCAACGTCTGAGGCTACTCGTTTGAGTTATGCGATCGTACGTACGTACGTTCGACCGACGCCACGAAAAATTCTCTACAGAATTAGTTTTAAAGCAGTTTTATAATTTTTTTGGAGGAAAAGAGTTATTTATTCTGTCCTTACGTACAGATATCACGCAAATACATCGTTAGATTGCATTCGAAAGCGGTTAAAATGGATATTTTTGTTTAAATATTCTGCCTGAAAATTTTCACGATTACAATTCTTCCTTTTTACTTGGTACAAGGAAGTAAAAATAAAATCATTAGAAGTCTGACTTTTGTACGATTAAAACTGACCGAGATATTTAATTTAAAACTTTGCAATTTTGAATGCCATTTTCAGCTTGGATCGAGGTAGCGGTTAACTTAGAACAATTCGGAGAAATTGGTTTAAATATAGTGCAATAAAAATGTGTATAATTTAATAGACCATACCAGGAAGTCATGTGGTGTCAACATCAGATTTTTACTTATTTCATACATTGTGATAATTTAATGATCAAAAGCGCAGTGATATAAAAGCTTTCTGTTGCCACTCGGCTAAACGCAATGTAATTATTTTTCGAATTTAATTAACGAACATAGAGATTTAAAAGAAATGTATTTCTTCTAGCCGAATTAAATACTTTTATCTTTAGAGCAAATGTGTTGTCGTTCATCAAAGCTTAATATATTTAATTATTTTTTCAAATTTTTTCCATTAAAATAACAAACTAAGCGATTTAAAAGCATTAAACGCAGGTTCATATTACAAATAATCTATCTGTTGACTGGTGAATTTATTCTGGAATTTAATGTCATAATGTAATTATTAAATTTTTCATGCATTAAATAATTTTGACATTTTTTTTTCATTTTTATTTCAAGCTCTTAGCGGATTTGTGTGGTGTTGTTTATGTTACTTATTAGTATACGATACACCAAAAGACCATCCAACAATCACCCTAGAGGAATTGGAATATATAGCAAAGCACTTACCTGTAGCCGAGAAGCAAGTATGTTAAATTTTGTGATTTCAAAAAATCATTTTAATTGGATTAAAATTATAGTAAAATACGAGTTTTTTTTCCCACCAACCTCTTCATTAAACTGCTTCCCTATTTTAAAAGTTCTTCTTCCCTTAAGAGAAATACATTTGAGAATATATGCTATTAATATTATTATATGATTTTATAAAAATATCTTTATTTTTTTATACTTTTTTACTCTTTTAATTATCTTGCTACTCTATATTACAAATCAATTACAAATCTATTAAATCAATTACAAATCAATTAAAATTTTATCATTAACTTAATGACAAAATTTTAATTGATTTGTAATTATGGGATAATTCACAAAGTATTGTAAATTTTTGCAATTTTTAAAATTAGTCGCTCAGAATAAAAAGTAATATGTGAATGTAAAGGCAAATGCTTAAATGTCATTTTCAAATTCTCAATATCACCTCCTTTAGTTATACATACAACATCAAGACGATATGAAAATTACTATCAAATACAGGGAAGTCATGAGAAAGCTTCCCTTACATACGAATGCCTAGCTGCCTACCCGCTTAAATCGAAATGAAATTTCGGATATTTTTATTTGAAGATATCCTCTCAAGATTGTGATGATTTAAAACAATAGAGCTCTCCCGATTACGGTTACTGTGAAAACATTTCAAAATACGTCAATACCTACTGTTTTCCTGCGCAAATTGATCAGAGCAATGAAATATCATAAACGGCATTAGAACGATGAATTGCAACACGAAACTGCAAAGTTACGAAAAGTGACTTTATTGCAGCACTTGCCGAACCCATATAGCGACGTGTAGAGGAGCCTCACCTTTCATAATACAATGCCATTAACGACATTTCGCTGCTACAGTTTTGGAATCACGTAATTCTACAACATTGTTTTATAAACACTGCTCATGTATAGTTGTTCCAAAGCCACTTATGGCTTCTCAGTGCGCTGAACAATTTGCGCAGAGAAAAAGTGGGTTTTGCGATTCGAAAATTTCGAAATTTTTTCACTCTAACCATAATCGGAAGAACTCGATTGTTTTAAATCATCACAACCTCGAGCGCATACCTTCAAATAACAATTTGAAATTTCATTTCGATTGATTCAGTGAATACGCGGCTAGGACTTCATATATCGCGGAAGTTTTTTTTTATGACCATCCTGTACTTCTGTTTCTAAAAGTATTAGAAATGCAATTTTCAAGTTTGTTTAGGCTTCTGAACTTAGATGGATCAAACGCATGATTTTTCACCTAGCCCAGAAAGTCCTAGAGTCGTAGAGGGATAATATTTGCAGCCGTAAAATGACAGTTGCTTAAAACCAAATCACCTGGTCCACTGTGTCAACCATGGACCTAATAAGAAATAGACTAACCCAAATGGGCTTTCTCCCTCGTCTGAGGCGTTCCAGACTGTCACCTTGATCACATCTGAAGGGGTAGGGACGACTTGAAGAAATCTAACAGTGGTTGCCTATTGCAGCGTGTATAATTGTCAAGAAAAAGCTGGTTGTAGCGCCTCATTTCACAAATTAGAATTTCTCCATATTTTTATTTTTGAAATCGGGATTGATTTTTAAAAATTTAGCATATTTATCAACTAATTAACGTTCCAAATAATTATAAAGCTATTGCATGCTTTCAGGGCTGGATATTTTTTTAGCTTTTCCTATGCTGTAATGGAAATGGTAACGACTTCTTTTAGAAAATAATGTTTAAATCTGAACTAATAGAAATTTCAAACAAGCAATTTTCTCTTGCAATTTTTATGTGTGTGTGTGATTATGGCAAAGCCTCGAGGGCTATCTGCCTAAGAGGAGGGATGCCTTCGTGGAGGACTTTCTAAGGGAAACTGGCTCGTATACACGTTCACAATGGGGAAAACCACGAAAACGCCCATGCAGCCAGCCCGTTCGCGGGATTCGAACCTCGTACCGAACTACCAGTGTTCAGCGACTTTACCGCTCGGCCGCTGGTGGGCCCTGCAATTTTTATGGTTTTAATTGGTGTAAATAAGTTTAAAATACTAAAATATTTAAAACGAATTTTTGAAGTTTGTTTTAAAATTCTAAATTGTGCTGCTTTTTTTAAATTATAGATGAATATTTTAGCACAATTTCTATAAAGGAATTTTATTTCAATTATATTTCATAACATATCATAGTGATAAACATATTTGACTCCTTAATAATTTTTATACATTAAATTCTAATATTAAAATTGTATTTAACCGTAATAATTAATTTTGTTTGTATTTGTGATTATGTTTTTAATTTATTTTTAATTCTGCATAAGATTTTTTTTATTTACTGTTAATTTAATTTATTAGCCCAGAGGGGCGGTTGCCTAGAAAGGCTGTTAGTTTCGAAGCGGCATTTTGCGCTGTTTTACTATAAATGTCCGTGTCTCCTTGCAAATTGTTGTTACCAAATATTATCGTCCTGTATTATTTAAAAGAATTAAATAATGAAGAATCTGCATAAATACATGGATGTTTCTCGCACTATGACAAAAACGACAGTATCTAGAGCCATCAAATTTTGAATAATGTAATCCTCCACCCAAACATGGGCATCTGGACGGCTGAATTTCGAATTTGTTTTAATCTGTTTCATATTTTGTAAAACTTTAACGAATTTTCGATAAACAAACTCAGCGAGTTCAGAGAGAGCACTGTACGGAAAATAACAGTTTTATCACCCGTAAACCACGTACATTTGAAAACAGCATATCTTTAGAATTTCTTACGGAAATTCTAAAGATATGCTGTTTTCAAATGTATGTGGTTTACGGGTGAAGAACATGATATTCAATAAATATAGGTAACATACAAAACGTTAAAAAAAGGTTCCTTTTGGGCGTAATATAATATCTTAATGCTCTAGATTTTATTTTACCTTTTTTTCCACCCTTCATTACACTCAGAAAATTTTACGCTCCGAATTTTATAAATTACTAAAATAAATATTCCACTTTAATGTTAATAAGTTAATGACGATATAAATCAAATAAATGATTGTTTTGTAATGTTATTATAGTTTTGAAAATCACTGCCTGAAATTGGTCATTAAATTTTTTTAAAAAGTTATCAGATCTTGTTTAATTTTACCTTATTTATTTCAAAGCAACACGTACTATCAATCTTATTTAATTTTACGTTTTTTGTACGCAAAATTAAGTTCATAAAATTTTGTGCCTAGCGCTTTTAACCGTTTTTAACCAAAGTAAAGATGTTTTACAAGAATTACGCGGTAAAAAAATGCGCAAAATGCAGTAAAAAGTGCTTTAATGAGATATTAAATCCTATTTGGAAAAACTGTGGGCTTTCATAAACTCATCACTATACAACGTATCACATTTAATAATTAAAAACGAGTTGTGTGATACAAACGCCATAGGTTTCAGTGTTAAAGTAAACCTGATCGTCCCTACTCTTTCTTGCCGACATGTCGGTGACGCGCTCCCCGCCCAATGGGTTGGTCTATCTCTTATAAGATCCATGGTGGCAACCGACTGACGTCACTGCGACTAACTGCAAGCAAACGGAAATAGCTTTTTGCTATTTAGATGATATTTTTACTTTTCCTCTCAAAAACATTTTTAAGCAACAAAACAGTACTATTACTAGTAATAGTAGAAAATAATATAATTATTATTACTCGAAAATTTTAATTTTATCATTTTTTTTACATTCTTATATAACACTTATCATTAAATTTTATTAGCTTCCAAAATTATAAAAATTTGAAATCCGTTTTTCTGAATTTTTTTTATAATATATTTTAATTTTTTTCTTCTGAAGCTGTAGCACTGAATCACCAAACCCCAATGAATAGTTTTCTCATTGCATTCGACACAGTTTTTCTTTCCTTTTCTTTCAATGTTACGGTCTGTTACTTTGGAATAGGCACTTCAAAGCCATTTTCTACCAAAATCAGGGCTCATAACCATGGTAATAATGGCTCAGGAAAAGTAATCAAGTCGTACAATTTTATAAAATCGTCTAATTCTTTCTGTGGTACTATGATGACATACATTACGATCGTAAAGGAGGAGAAGATCGTTATGAAGTACTTTAAATAACCTGATTATAGTTCTGCTTTTTGCTTTGTTTATTAAATAGTACTCCTTCTTTTCCAGATAAAAACGATACCATGGAAATCTATTATGACTTCTGTTCCTTTTTGGGCACTGGCAGTTGGGTATTTCGGTCAGTTTTGGATTCTGGGATTTTACTGCACTGCGCAGCCTCTTTACATGGGCACGATTCTTCACCTGGATAGCGTCACAGTAAGTGCTCATATGCTCTTGATCCCCCTTGACAGATTCGTGGCGACTATCATCAAGAATTGTCATCCCCTTCCTTCTTAGATTTTTATGATTACAATGTTCTTTGTAAGCTATATTGAGTGATATAAGCAATTTATTAATGATTATAAATTATTTCTTTGGATTATTTATTTAAGACCAAAGAAAATGGATTAGGCAATTTGGAAACAAAACCCAGCTTTCACCTTAATCTTGTTTTTTTTTTTTTTTTTTTTCTATGTGTACAATTCATATACATTTTTTAAATATGTAATTTTTACAACCACTTACACCACTAGTGTAAGTAATGAAAGACATTTTTAAAGTATTACATGAAATATAAAACTAGCAGTGCAACAACCTAGTGTTTGGTGTAGAGTTGGTCACAAACACGAAGTTGTTGCTTTGTTAATTTTATGCTTCACTTTGACATATTTCTCTTCTGCTTTGATTACATGAAATGTTTATAAGTTTCATACTTTATCGATTTTGAATTTCTGAAAAGATTTTGAAGCTTCTTGAGAAATTAGGAAATAAGAATTATTTCTCGAGACTTTTCATCGAGAAATTTTCTGGAAGAAATAATATGAGTGCAGGCTGATTAATTCACATGTTGAAGATTTCTAGGTCAGTTCCCGAAGAGCCACAAATATTAATATGCGTTATGTTTACCATATTTAAAATGAATGTGTCTAGTCAAAACAGTGTTTTTGACTATACGGATTAATTTTAAAATACTGTTACGAATTTGTTATTTAAAAAGCTAATGTTAGTTCAATTATAAATTAAATGGTTTTATTTCTCGCGCAGTGCAGCGCGTGACGAATATTAAAAGAAAGCTAAGCCGGAAAATTGAAAATACAAGAGCGCGTGCATTAAATAAATAAATATCTCTTTTTGATTTCGAGAAAGTACTGGAAAATTCTAGCGCGTGATTTTAAAATCTTATAAAAGGAGGAAACATCTCAGTTCGTAGTAGTTTGTTTGCTGCTTAGTTTGTTGTTGTTTAGAAAACTGCTCTTGTTGATTGTAGCGAATTCGAGGATTAGCTTTCTTTAGCTGTTTTGAATTACGTTCTATTGGACATTTGAGTAGTTAGAAGATAACTACTGTGATATATTGTAATACTGCATGATAATTTGAGGAAATTTAAGCATTTTTGTTGTGATAATAATAAATTTTGTTCATTTTTCATCGGACTTGTGCATTCATTTCATAACGAACCCGTACGCACGCAACAATACTAACGAAATTTTAAAGATTTCATTATATATAATGTAATATTAATTCATTCATGATGTTTAAATTGTAGAATAATTTTATCTACGATTCTTAACCTGTGATTTAAATGTGACGAAATTAATTTATTCTCAAATATTACTTACACATATCCAACAGTTGAGCGTGTGTAAAAATACGAAGCAAAATTTCTTGATCTTATTTAATTCTGGTTTGTCTCTCATTGTTTTCAATGTGCGTAATTCAAACAAATGTGTCAATTGATAGATAGGTCTTGTACAATTTTCATAAAAATTAAATCAAAGTCTGTTTCAGAATGGCCTACTTTCCAGTGTTCCTCCTCTGTGTCGTGCTTTGTTTGCTTGTATGTGCGGGTTTCCAGCTGATTGGGCTGTTAAGAGAGGTCATCTATCCGTAGGATTCATAAGGAAAAGTGCTACACTGAGTAGTAAGTACAAATTCACTTGATCAATAAGTACAAAAATGTACGAATATTATATATAAAATTTTACAAGGAAAGCATTTAAATAATACCTGTCGTGAAATTTACATGTGCCATAGAAAATTTAATGAGAAAACTGTGCAGTTAATAGGAGAGATGTACCAACTTTTTTGTAAGCGAGAGAAAGCTATAATTTCTAAACGCATATAGAGTACAATGTCTTAAGAATATAAGCATGATTTCTCAGAGCAAACTTTATTACATGAAGTCAAAACAATATTTATGACAATACATCAAAGTTAAAATCTTTACATTTTCGAAACAGTTTAATAGCAGCAGCAATGTTCTTCCTGTCAGATGAGGCTAGGCATGCTGACACTGAACTGCCTTTAAGACGGAAATTCACTCTCTAGACTCCCAATGCTTTCCGAATATGGTAATACGATGAATACAATCATCACAAGAACCATTTTTTTTTCCAAACAAAGCGGAAGAAAAATTTGCCAAATTGATGGTAATTAGCTTTTGACCTCAGTGGCACTGCGACCACTTCTTAACTAACAGAACTCAAAAGAGTCACTCAACACACCCAAAATTTGGTCTGCTGCTTATAATGCTGTCTCAACACAAATTAATTTCTCACAATATCTTATTATTGACTTAGCCATATTGACCCTTCTATTTCATGGTTTGAACTTTTATTTTAATACTTAAGTATTTTAGTGCGTGTACTGTTGTCCTTATTCATCAATTGAACTTCCCATATTTCCTATCAGAATGTAGAATTCACTTTTTGTGTAACATCTGTATAGACAGAAGAATGTCCATTGTTTTTCTGTATATAATTCAAAAGAATCTACAATTATATACCGATCGTCATGAAATTTTGCCCTTTTGACCTTAAAAAAAGAGGAATGTCACTGTCTACATAAGATTTGGAGAAAACAATCTCACAGGGTCCACACATAAGAGGTTTTTATTAAAACGTTTCGCTCATGTCACCCATCTTAAGTTCACGCCGCCGCCTGAGCGTCAATTACGCGTTCTATTGTCGAACGTAACAGAGCCACCATCATCATGGGGTGTGCCGCAAGTGAAGACCTGACCTATTCATTCCTTGCATTCCGTTGATACCCAGTGATTCAAATATACTCTTCGATTTCAAGCCATTACACATTCCCATTCGGCTTGCATTCGCTGTATCAACAAGGCCCAAGGAGCAATCACTTTGGTTAACTTTAAAATGCTATGTTTTTCACATTGTTCATTAAATGTTGTTTGTTCTCGAGTCGAAACGCCGGGTGGTTTCATTGTTTATACTCCAAACGGTCAAACGAAAAACATAGTGAACCCTCAAGCTTTGCGATAAAAGGTGCGAAAGTGTAATATTTGTTTTCTATCTAACTAAAATCTACAATTTTATTCGAGCTTAGTAAAATTTTGAGCAATTCACCTTGAATCAAAATGAAAGGAAAAATCTATGTATACCTGAGATTTAAAAAAAAAAAAAAAAAAAAAAAAAAAAAAAAAAAAAAAAAAACGTTTTTGATGAGAGGCTGTCTGTTGCATTTGTTCCAAACGGCCGCTGGGCTTAGTTGCGTAGGACTTGTTTCTAAGATTTTAATATATTGTATACACAAGTGATCCCCTTTTTTTTTTTTTAAATTTGAACAGACATCTTTGAAGAAGTCTTCATTTATAATTTCATCTTCATCTATAACTTGTTAAAGGTAAACCAAAATTTGACAATTTATTATTAGCAATAGTAGAAGAAGCTGAAGCCCTTCGATTTATTTGGAAACTAACAACTTCAGGCTATTTTATTTTCTTATTATTATTTTCATAATATCGCTCATTGCGTTCTTTCCTTTTTACAGCTAAAGGTACTTTATTACTTTCTTTCAATAAATCGTTCTTTAATTTTTTTGTTTGTCTCTTGCTCTGTATTCTTAGTGCATCTTTATTAATTTTATAATTATTTTTGTGCAAACAAAATCAGTACTTCGCTCCTTCAAACGCTCACCGTTGACAACATAGAGTGGTGTATTTAATTACGGCAAAGCACACATTAGGGCTATCTGCCTAAAGGGGAGGGATGCCTTCGTGGAGGACTTTCTAAGGAAAACTGGCTCGTATACACGTTACACATGGGGAAAACCACGAAAACACCCATGCAGCCAGCCCGTCCGGGGGGATTCGAACCTCGGACCGAACTACCAGTGTTCAGCGATTTTACCGCTCGGCCGCTGGTGGGCCCCCGACAACATAGAACTGAATGGTGTTATAACCCGATATTATCTAACTCGTGTGCGCGCACATGTGACGTCATCAAAATATTGCGAATTATTGCCTAACTTTGAGACTCTACTGTAACTCAACCGCCATTCTAATTTTCAAGTTTTTGGGGGTATATGTGTTTGTGTTTTGTAATGGCCTCCTTTAACTATCAAATAAGCCATAAACATAAACTATAGCTTTTGATGTTATTGAGATTTAAACTTCCTACTAAGACAAGTTTTGCGTCTTATTTTTTTTTCTCCCTGAGACCGTCATTGAGGAACGTAGTCCTACGTTAAAACTACCCACTACTCTCTTAATGAAGCCCCTTTGTTCTATGTAAAGCCCGACCCTCGCCAGCTACTTCATAGTTTTTGAATAAATTGAGCTGCCACCCATACTGAAAATTTTGAAAAAGGTTCTTGCGACTGCTCCTTTTAATTGGCAGCAGGATGTGATAATAATGCGAGGTTTTATAAAAGGAGTTTTCAGTGGGCTGCTATAAACATGAATGTATATGCTTTTAAAAGTGTTATGAATGTTCATTAAAATATATTTCTTTTTACTTTTGACTTTTATACAGATTCCATACTTGCTTGTTTGGGCTTCCTTGGTGTAAGCTTAATTGGATGTGATCCGCAGTTAAATACAATATTCTTTACAGCCGGTGGCCTGCTGGGGGATTTTATAACATTCGGCGTTTGCATGGCTGGAGTGGACATAGCACCAAATCTTTCAGGTGACTTTTCATTTTTCACAAAATGCTGTATAATTTTTCCCTTTCATATCACAAAGTAGAGTCGAGAATGTCCATATTTACTTCGATTGTTCTAAGAAATATAGAGGTTGATCCAAAGAATATAAAGACGCTTCCAATTAATGCACCATCAAATATTTAAGTAACTGAAAGTGAAACTTGTGTATCTTTAGACACTAATACTGGATCCTCTTCCTGAGCACTCATTTCAATACAACGTTGTCTAAATTCCATATATACCTGTTAATGATAAATTTTAATTCACCCAGTGTCTAGTTATCCGAAGAACACTGTGTTTTTCTTTGAACATAATAGTAAAAATTTGGACGGAAGAAATGTGTGAGTGTGATTATGGCAAAGCCTCGAGAGCTATCTGCCTAAGGGAAGGGATGCCTTCGTGGAGGACTTTCTAAGGGAAACTGGCTCGTATACACGTTACACATGGGGGAAACCCCGAAAACGCCCATTCAGCCAGCCCGTTCGCGGGATTCGAACCTCGGACCGAACTACCAGTGTTCAGCGACTTTACCGCTCGGCCGCTGGTGGGCCTCTGGACGGAAGAGATCTGTTAGTAAAATATTATTAGGTGTAGTGAATTAATCACTTCTGAAAATATGTCGCGAAAGATGAAAGATGTGAACATTATGCTTACTGGAAGTAGACCTGGTAAATCTCATCTTCTGTTAACTGAACAAGGAAAGGGAAAGGAATTTTGTCACATTATCTTTCAATACCTGTATTATATAAATTAAATAATGAAGAATCTGCATGAATGTATGTATGTTTCCCGCACTGTCATAAAACAACGGTACCTAGAGCCATCAGAATTTGAATAACGTAATCTTCCATAGAATACAGGCATGTGGAATCCCCAATTTGAATTTGAAATTTGTTTTATTAACGATTTCATATTTTGTAACACTTCAACGAATTTTTTATTAACAAACTAAACGATTTCAAAGCGATCAATGGCAACACTGCACGAAAAAAACATTTTTATGGTATAAGTGCGAAGAACATAATGTTTAATAAATAAAGGTAATACACAAAATGTTAAAAAAACGCCCGTTTGGACTTAATTTAAAATCTCAAACCTTTCAGAATTTTTTTTCGCAGTGTACTTCAGAATTTTCAATTATTTGTAAATTTAGGAAATAACAGTAAAAATAATGTCAAGATAGTTTCAGAAATTATCTTGATGTTATTTCTTTTGAGTTCTTCTTTATTCTAATGAAAAATGAATTCTGTTTCGTACAGTTTGCAAATGGTTGAGCCTACTTGTTATCTCTAAAGATAAATTTGCAGTTCTGTACGGGGTGTGACACAAAAAAAAAAAAAAAAAAAAAAAAAAAAAAAAAAAAAAAACGAGACTAAGCGTGTACCTTGAAAACAAAGTGGAGTTGGCAACAACTGTTTTGCTGACGTCACGCCACACTCCTCCTCTATCCAAGCGGCGAATTTCGACTTAACCAACCGCGCCAGTGGGAAATACTACGTCTTTAAGTGAACACCTGCAACTGCATTCTGCCGAAAAAATGTCTAATGTAAAAACCGAACAGCGAATAAACATCAATTTTCTTGTGAAACTTAAGAAATCTGCCACGGAGAAAACATTTCAAATGTTGAGCGAGGTGTATGGAGATGAAACTTTGTCTCAAGCACGTGTGTTTGAATGGCATAAGCGGTTTTCAGGGAAAAGGGACAGTGTGGAAGAGGGCGCCCTGCACGTTCATCATGAAGAATGAGTTCCCAGTGTACAGACTGTTAATCAACACTACTACAGTGAAGTATTAAAAAGACTTCATGAAAATTAGGAAAAAAAAAGGCCACAGTTGTGGAATGATGGATAGCTGTTGCACCAGGACAATGCAGCCGCTCACATGGCCCTATCTGTCAAACAATTTCTGACCAGCATAAGCATTACTACGCTGGGGCATCCTCCTTATTCACCTAATTTGGCTCCATGCAACCTTTTTTTATTTCCTATAGTTAAATCTTACTTAAAGGGAACCCGTTTTACCTCAGCTGCAGAGGTTCAGGCAAAACGGAAAATCTCCTGAAGGGCCTTCCAAAAGCCTCGTTCAAGAACTATTACCAGGAATAGCAGTGAGAATGCAGAAGAGTGCAAATGCTGAAGGGAACTACTTTGAAGGTGATAATGTCACGGAGAACTGATTCTGTAAGTATAATGATTTATTGGACTAGTCTCGTTCTTTTTGTGCCACACCTTGTATGTTATGTTAAAATACTAATTGTTTTCTTACTTAATCACTAAATTTAGATATATATTATATAATATTTTATTAATGTAAGTTTTTTTTAACTCAACCCTTTTTCGAATAGTTTGGATAAAATTTCAGGTATTTTAAAAGTCTTGTACCATTTCTAAAAAAATTCTATCTTGTCTAAAACTTTTTTTATTTAGATTTGATTAAAATTACTGCTTTAATATGATACTCAATCGTACACTTTTTCCAGGAGAATTTCATCTCTGCAGTTCATTTAAATTTTTTAACAATGTATGAGAAGCATAATGAGGCCATTTCTTTTGATTTATTGAATATAATTATTCTTACAGGTACTGTATCTGGTATTCTGAGTTTTGTTGGTGTAATACCATTTTTCATAATACCGGCTATAATTGGATGGCGGACTAAATATGAGGTATGAAAGACTTTTCATTATACTGAGCAGAATTTTTATCTTTGCAGAGATGTATTTGGATATTGCTGCCTTATTCTCTAAGCATTATCTACACATTACATGTAATTTATTGTGCATACTGTATAAGATAATCGTGCATATGCATTTCATATTGGAATGCACTTATGTGTATATGTACACATAAGTGTATTCCAATATGAAACTACCCCATATCCATTTGTATATAAGTAATAATTTAAGTGCATAGACGCCATTGCCAGCTATCGATATTCGTCATGGCTGATGATTAAGGCATACAAATGAAGATAACAAAACTGGATTTCTACAATTCACTAATCTTTATTTTCGCACATATCAAACCATTTCTTAATAGATAAGATACTTCTAGATCATAAACAATTACAATAATTTTTATATTAGACAGGTAAAGGGATACGACATCATTTTAAGCAAGTGGGCATAGCAGGTGCAGATGTTGGAAGGCGGAAGCTAGGAAAAGGAAGATAACGTAGTTAATTGCTAGCGGTACTATACAGAGTGTACTTACTGGTCAGAATTAAAAACTATATAACTTAATTCTATAAAAATGTTTAGTGTTTTAAGATATATCATGAATTAAATGCATTTTTATTAAATCCATCATAATAATAAGTAATATTCTTAAGAACTGCATTTTTTGCAAGGCTATTCTTCCCTGCAACCAAGACATTCTGTTGTATGAAATGAAAGGCTGAAAGACTACTTAATGAACTCCTAATAGTATTGTTTATTGCTGTAGCTAACGTTGATCCATACATATAGAGACGGTTGCTCAGCATCTCGTTCAAATTCTTGAGCTAGAGTTGGGATATGGCTTTACTATCGTAATAGTCACGCACACAAGGTGTTTTCCGTTTCGTTCCGTGATATGATGAGGCCATCGAAATTATTTGTGAATTCTTTCGTTAACTCGGGGACTTAACGTTTATATCCCTTTCGCCAGATTCTAACCGACATTAGTACTAATTTCTCGACAGGATAAATCCATATTCAACAGAACGTAATTTTGCGATCGAAGCTTTTGTTGATATGGCTGGCATACTCTTCATCGAGGGATAACTTAAACAGTCTGCCCATAACAACTTAAATTATCAATTATCAGGTTCAAGTTGTAGTATAGTGGGCACCCATTGTTTAACCATTGGTAATGTAGGTATTGTCCAACTGCACTATCTAACTTATTTGAACATTATTATTTTTTTGAAGAATTTTGACATTATCGGTTATCGGAAAATAGTAATACAGAACATGAATGGCAAGCAAATACAATTTCAGTATTTAACAGTGACTTCCCCCGTCTGCAAGGACGTTACTGGTGCATTGCTGCCAGGGCGTATCAGTGGTATACTTCATTTGCGTAAGTGTTGTGCTGTTATTCATTTACACGCCCTTCCATGATCAGGAAAATTTCACCTTTGTCGGAGACATTCTTCGTGGTGTTGCAACTGCAATGACCAACTGTTAAAGAAGACTTCGTCCGCATTATGACTTGATGCTATTAATATGATTCTTGTTTTTTCCATTATAAAAGCCATAATCAAATCAAATTAATTATACTCTTTTCTTTTCTTAGCGATCCATGGCTCAGTGGAATTTCATTTACTACATTACAATAGGAGTTGTCATAGTAACCACGGTAGTATATCTTGTCTTTGGAACTTCAGAACCGCAGTCCTGGAGAACGGATGATAATGAGGATGCATCAGAAGACAATTCAGATCACAAACGCAAAAACAGTAAAGATTCACAAAGTAAATTATGACAAGTGTGTTTTGTAATGTTAAATTGCCTAGATTGCTAACTTGTGACAGCACGAAATTTCTGTAGGGTCGCAGAACAGCAATCTGGCTAACGACTTTCACTTTTTAATGCATAAACACAATTATTGTAATGTATAGTTGCTAGGATTTTAGTGTAAAATATTCTTGTTTAGTTGGTGCTTAGTTATCTTGTACAAAATATATTCATTACATATGAGCTTGTGAAATTCAACAAATTAGTTTTATAATAAAATAGGTTTATATTATTTTCTCTCATTTGTATGGCTTTTCCATAACTGCTTATTTTATAGTTCTTACTGTTCTGTTAGAGAGATGCAAATGATTGTATAATCCACAGTAATTTCACGAAAGACATATCACTAGGTTTTGAAACTGAATGTAATCCATATTGTAGTCGCTTAAGGTGAAATTAGCTTCTTAATATACAGGATTGTGTGGAATCCTAATAGAATTCGAACACTAAATTAGGTTCTATACAGATTGTCTGTAAACTTATCTCCCCGTCTTAATTTGGGATTGAAGTGACTATAAACTCAGACAAAGATTTAAAAAGTAAACCTTTTTATTAAAAAATTTTAAACTTGTGCTTCATAAAATCAGTTACAGCTACTTGCAGGATTTAGATTAAAAGTAAAGTATTGAAGTAAAATTTAAAGTCACGTTTGAAATTTACAAGGCAATCTAAGTTTGGGCTCAGGCTTCTAAATAAGCAGACAACAAAGCTAGTAAATGACTGAAGTAGTTCTACGAGCTCGGTGAGAAATAAAGCGAGGGTCAGAAATAGAGCTGCTCAAGAGGTGACACTCTAACTTTAAGAATACTTTTCTTATATTGTTAACTAATTTATTTCCCGGTAACACTTGATGAAAGCAGAAGTGACAATAAAGTTAGAAATAGTAAGATAGTGGTTAATAAACATAAATCAAGGTAAAATCGATTTTGATCAAATGTTAGACAGGAGGAAGATAAGTGAAATAAAAGAATTACTTTTCTTCTAATTATTAAGTGCAGTTTAAAAATTTTCTAAACAGTAAATACAGAAAAACTTCAAAACAGAAACCTTGATAATGATATCGTCGAAAGAAAAAAGAGCCATGAGAAAGAAGATAACTATGTAAGCTACATTTGAACCGATATTAGCTTGTACAATGTGAAAAAAAAAAAAAAAGAACTGTTCTATATCTCCCATTCTACTGGGCCGACTGATAAAATTCAGCTTACTTTTTTCATGTCTCGAAAGTGCGACATAGGATATGTATTAGACTGATATATAGCATTGTTCTAACATAGGTAATTTGACACAAAATCGGACGTTTTTCTAAAATGACATGCCAAGGTTTTTCCATATTTCGATTATACGACTCAAATTATGCCAAACTGCCAGCTTTTGTAAAAAATCGCACAAATAGTTTTTAAAAAATTAGCTCTCAAAATTTTAACTCAATGCTAATTGAATTTGATGTGTACTTATTAGTATCCCTCTTTTTTTATTAAAGTTATTTGATGCCTTCCTTCTAGAATTCGAAATTTAGGCTTAATCCAAATACAATTGGCATATTTTTAATGATTTATTTTTTAAATTTGCATTTTTACTTATTTTTTATAAATTTTTCGAAAACATTTTTGTATTATAACCTGTAAAATTTTAACAGCATCTTAAAGTATATGTATTTCTAGGCACACATGCAATAAAATTACAATTTTTTTTTAATTCAAAATTTTCGAAGATATACATGAATTTACATATTGGCACATTTTGAAACTTGGCATCTTTTTTTTTTTTTTTTTTGAGCGATAATAACGCCAAATGTGGTTTATGGATTTTGTTATAGTGAATTGCCGCAGATATTTTTAACCTTAAATTTCAAATAACTTCTCACTGAGATTTAATTGTATGGAATTTTTCCATTTAATAATTTTTCCCTTAATAATAAATATTTATTAACACCATATGAAAAGCTACTTTTTATTACAGATGATATTGTTCAAATTTTTAACTTTTTATTTATTTATTTATTATTTATTTATTTTTAACTTCCTTGTACGAAAATATTTTCGGATACCATATTTAACCGAAAATACTCATTTTGACCGCTATCGAATGGAATTTTACGATGTTTTTGCTTGACATATGTGCATAAGGACAGAATAAAGGATTCTTTTTCTCAAAACGGATTGCAGAAAGGATTTAAAATGGATTTAGAAGAGATTTTTTTTCCGTGACGTCTGTACATACGTAGGTATGTATTGTAATATTTTATTTTCAACAAATAATTATATTTATTATCCATTGATATTGGAGTGGCAACGCCATATTTGTATCATTTAACCGTTGCTCAGCAACGGCAAAAATTGTTTAAAATTGTCATTCTGAAGTTTGACCAGCTAGTAGATGTTTGAAAATTTTGCCACTTAAGAATTGTATACAAATTATCCATCTCCGAAAACTAAAAATAAAATTTATTTTCTACTAAGAAGATTATCTGTTTTGTCAACTATTGCAAAATACATTACAGTCTTATAAAAATGGAGGTTCCTCCGAGTTGACTGAAAATTAGGAGTGCAATTATCAATTTCGATGGTGCTGGTCTCCTAATCCCAGAAAGATGCTGAATTTTTTAGAGCAAGTTTGCTAATACCAATTGCCGAGTTTGTTTATTTCAAGGAGAAATGGATGTAAGAAGTCTGCCTTTTTAAAGCCAGATTTTGAAGCGGATCATTCAAAGGTTATCTTCTGTGCTTCTATAACTCGCGTCCGAGCAAAGAATTGTCAAAACAGGATACTTCTGATCATCGAAGATAAGCTTAACTTTTGGTTTCATAAAAAGTATTTATTGAATTTTAGTATTTCATTTCAGAATTATATTTGAAACAGCTTCAGTATAGCCCACTTTCAAAGTTTGGCGAATTTGTTTTGGCGCCAAAGCACATGAAGATTGTTTACTTACTAGTATGTAAGAGATAGTGTCGTTACGTAGCAATAAGGTAATTTTGTAAAGATGATAAAGTTAAAATGTTCCGCAATATGAAATTAAAATTTAAAAAAATCTGTTTTATTTGTATAAATACTAAAGCTTAAAAATATTCACCCTGTATGAGAGACTGCGACGTTGTTTACAGTTTTAATAAGCTGTTACAATTCACTTACCGTATTATAGTAGTTTGAAATAAAAAAAAAATTTAGTATACTTCATTTTCTACATCTGTAGAGAATACATTGTGACGTCACAATTTTAAGTCCCACCCATTTATGAACGTCACATAGCTCTGCCTTCGCAACTTTGTTTATACAACGCTTACTGGCGATTTTCAAAAAATCGCAGCTACTGAAAATCGCCAAGCAGTGGGCTAAAGCACATTTTCACCGAAATACGTTGTTTTGAAAAATGGTTGCCATCCAGATTTTCGACGAAACTCCGTGTTTCAAAATTGGCGGCCATCTTGATTTCGCCAGAAATCGTGGATAATAGAAGTAAATTTACGACTATTATACACGATTTTAAGAGAAAGAACTATTAAGAAATGATTAATAAAAATGATTAAGGTTCAATGATGTAATTTTAAAAACAATACTGGAAACCCTTAGCTATTTCACCTTTAATAAATAATTTGGTAAAAGCGTAGAATAGGCTGCATCAACAAAGTTCAGGAGGCGGAGCTGTGTGACGTCCATAAACGGGCGGGAATAAGCTTGTGACGTCACAATGTATTCTTCATGGACCTTATAAGAGATAGACTAACCCAGTAGGCGGGGCACGCGTCACCGACATGTCGGAAAGAAAGAGTAGGGACGATCTAGTTTACTTTAACACTGAAACCTATGGCGTTTGTATCACACAACAGATTTTAATTATTAAATGTGATACGTTGTATAAGTGATGAGAGTATGAAAGCCACAGTTTTTTTTTTCCAAATAGGATTTGAATATATCTCATTAAAGCAGTTTTTACTGCATTTCGCAGCACTTTTTTTCACGCAGTAATTCTTGTACAAACATATTTACTTTGGTAAATTGGTAAAAACTCTCTAATGCACAAAATTTATGAACTTAACTTTGCGTAAAAATAAAGTAAAATTAAATAAGATTGATAGTACATAATGCTTTGAAATAAATAAGGTAAAATTAAACAAGATCTGATAATTTTTTTTTATTTTAATGAACTTTTTCAGGCAGTGATTTTCCAAACTATAATAACATTACAAAACGATCATATTTATTTTATTATATGATCATTAAATTATTAGCATTAAAGTGGATTAATTATTTTAATAATTCATAAAATTCGGAGCATAAAATTTTCTGAGCTTAATGACGGGGAAAAAAAAAAAAAAAAAAAAAAAAAAAAGATAAAACAAAATGTAGAAGCACTCAGATTTTATATTACGCCCAAAAGAAACCCTTTTTTAAAAAAAGTTTTGTCTGTTACCTATATTTATTGAGTATCATGTTCTTCGCCCGTAAACCACATACATTTGAAAACAACATATCTTTAGAATTTCCGCACTGGAGATAAAACTGTTATTTTCCGTACAGTGCTCGCTCTGAATCCGTTGAGTTTGTTAATAAAAAATTCGTTAAAGTTTTACAAAATATGAAATGGATTAAAACAAATTCGAAATTTGGCCGTCCAGATGCCCATGTTCGGGTGGAGGATTACATTATCCAAAATTTGATGGCTCTAGATACCGTCGTTTTTATCACTGTGCAAGAAACATACATGTATTCATGCAGATTTCTTCATTATTTAATTTCTTTACATATAATATAGGGTGATAATATCTGGTAACAACAATTTGCGAGGAGACACGGACACTAATAATAAAACAACGCAAAATGCCGCTTCGAAACTAACAGCCTTTCTAGGCTACCGCCGCTTTGGGTTAATAAATTAAATTAACAGCAAATAAAAAAATCTTATGTAGAACTAAAAATAAATAAAAAAATAATCACTATAATATACAAGCAAAATTAATTATTATGGTTAAATACAATTTTAATATTAGAATTAAATGTATAAAAATTTTAAGCAGTCAAAAGTGTTTATCACTATGATGTATTATGAAATATAATTAAAATAAAATTACTTTATAGAAATTGAGCTATAATACTCATCTATAATTTAAAAAAAGCAGCACAATTTAGAATTTTAAACAAAACTTTCAAAAATTCCTTTTTAAATATTTTAGTACTTTTTACTTATTTACACCAATAAAAAGCGTAAAAATCGCAAGAGAGAATTGCTTG